GGGGGGGCGTACTCATTTGTTGCTTGCCGTAGTCATTTGACCATTGACCACGCGTCCCTTTCGGAGCGCCGTTCGTACCCCTACTAGAGACACCACCAACATTTGGGAGCTCTTTACGTTTCTGCCACAAACTACAAAAAAATTCTTGCACATCTTATCCCCGTCCTCGACGGTCTCTTGTGCCCACCATCTATCCCCAATTACCGCGATCGTTTTTTCGCTGGTGTTTTACCAAACTTGTCCATGTCACACCCTCTCTGTCTCATGTCCTCCTCGATATCCTCTCTTTCCTTCCTGTACAGCTCACACTCCCCAACTATGTGGGGTCTACTCTCCTCCGATTTGCCACATGGACATGTCTGTCTATCCTCCTCTTTCTCTCTCCTACGGCTGCTGTACCTCTTCCTCCGTTCTGGCAAGTCCAGATCGCCTACTCGAAATTGCAACTTCACAGTTTTTTTGCGTAGTCCATGGGGCCGTCCAAGTAACTCTTCATTCCTATCCCTTCTTTCAACTTCCCGTATATCTATCCTATCTCCTTCCAAACCCTCTCTACCACCTTGTCCCATCTGATTCCTTTCTTCCCTGGAGTCGCTTTTCCCCAAGCTGCCTTGTCAACCATGGCTGGTAGTCTATCGTCCGACATTCTACTTACCTTGTACTGCCAATTCAACTTTTGCATGTCTCTCTTTGTTTTAAGAGAGTACATTCCCAGCCCTGCTCTCAATGCAGTGTTGCTCGTTGTACTTGAACATCCTAGTATTTTCTTGGCCGCTGCCATCTGCACCGTTTCCAGCTGCTTGACGGCCTTTTCGTTACCTTCCCATACCTCTCCTGCATACTCTAGCTTAGGTACAATCACATTCAAGAGGACACACCTCTTAATCCTAGTGTCTAGGTGTGGGTCCGTAAGGATCTCGTCCATCTTGCCTATCTGAGCTTTACCCTTCCCAATCAACTTTGCTATGTGTGCGTCCCATGAGCACTCCTTCGAAATCTCTACTCCCAGGTACGCATACCTGTCTACAACCGGTAGTTCTTCCTCCCCACATTTCCATTTGAATTCTACGGGATTTTTCTTGTCTTCGTTACAGACCACTACTGCGCATTTTTCTACGTTCGCCGACAGTCTCCATTTTCGGGTGTATCCTACTGCCGCATCTATTTGTTCCTGCAACCCTTCTGGTGTTTCGGATACCCCCACGAAATCATCTGCAAACATCAGTCCGGACACACTCTTTCCCCCTACTTGGACTCCGTGTCTTACTGCTTCAACCGCCCTTATCAAGTCGTTGATGTAAATCTTGAAAAGAGTGGGTGACATCGTACAGCCCTGTGCGACTCCTTGGAGTATATCCACGTACTTCGAGATTTCCCCATCCAACATCACTGCACTTCTTGTGCATTCTGTCATCTTTTTCAACATCCTCCACATTTTCCCCCGGATCCCTATGTCCCACATCTTTTTCCACAATCCATTGCGCCAAACGGTGTCGTAGGCTTTTTGTACATCTAGGAAGAAACAGTATGTCGTACGCCCGGCGTCTTTCCTACCTTGGATAATTTTACTCAACGTATATACATGGTCTACACAACTACGATCTGGTCTAAATCCAGCTTGTCCTTCGCTGATCTTTTGTTTCCCCTCCAACATGTCTCCCATTCTATTGTTTATCATCTTGCCAAAGAGTTTCCCCACTGTGCTCAGCAAGGTTATCCCTCTATAATTCCTCGGGTCAGTTTTATCCCCCTTTTTGAACAGGTTCACGACTACTCCTTCTCTCCATCTCTTCGGCGCGTACTCGTGTTTCCATATCCAGTTGAATATCCGGACCAACATGTTAATCATCCCCCCCCCCCCCTGTTTCAAAAGCTCATTCACAATTCCATCAGCCCCTGCCGCTTTTCTATTCTTGAGTTTCGCTACACAGTCCTCTACCTCTTCTCGTGTGAACTCTCCCTGCAACCCGTCTACATCACTACATTCCCTCCGAGATCTTTCAACGTTTTCCTCTGCCCACGAGTTGATTTCCTTCTCAAACTCCGAGTCGAAGTTGTCGTTGGTGTTGGGTGTCCCAAGTTTGCGGTAGTGCTCTACTAGGACTTCCCGCTTTCCTTTAGAACTGCTTACCATCTTACCCTCGGCAGATCGTAGTGTCGCTATTCCCGTGTCTCCCCCTCTTTTCTTGCCCACTATCCCTTGAATTCCTACCCACATTTGCTTCATCCCCCCCTCAAAATGTTCGTTAGTCTTTTGGACTACTTCCCCCCACAACGCTTTCTTCTTCTTCACCACCAACTCCTTCACCCTCTTTCTATTTTCAACATACTCCTTCCATCCTGCATTGGTTTTCCCTGCCGCATATTTTTCGTGTAACTCTCTACGTACTCGAATTGCTTGCTTGATTTCTTCGTCCCACCAATTCACTGCTCTCTT